AGGCAGGGAGTCAACCCAGAGGGCAGAACAGCCCCAATATTCTGTATTCCAAATACTCTACACTCCAAAACCACAGCAGCTTTCTAAGAGAACAAAAAGAGGCTTGAAGAACAATGGATAAGCCAGACACTGTGAGAAGAGCTAAAGAATGGAGGTTTTCTTCATAATTGTCTTTGTTGTTCTCTATGATATTTTCTCTTTGAGAATGAGTACTTTGCCCTTTCAAACTTCTAGTAGATGGCTCCTTTGGTTGAATAGAGTGTTATGTGCAAACCACGAGGCTGCATTCATGTTTGAAAGCGGTGCAGGTGCTGGTTTTTGCTTTAGCAGATGTGATACACTCATGACAGAATGAGGTTACTGCAGGAGTGACTCATTGTTGAATAATCAAGTGTTTACTCCACCAAAACTGCATGTAACCAGACTGCCACAGTTTTCCTGCTTTATTCTAAGATGTAGCTTTTAAATGTCAGTGCACCAGGAAGAAAGGTAAACTCCTTGGGTGGCTCAGATCTCTTTTTATGCATGGGTTTAAAGGCAGAGAGTCTTACAGTTCTCAATGGAGAAGAAAAACTACTGAGCACATCAATTGAGACATTAATCAGCTGAGGAGGGGAAATTACCTGAAGAGGAAAACAAAATCCTTTCCTGAAGGATTTCTGAAGTAGACCAGATGGAGAAAGAACAACTGGTGTGAGGTTCTGGTTTGGTTTTTCCATACATCCCAATCTAGTATCCCTCCTGACAATAATGTTACCGTTTGAGTAACCTTCAGCCAATAATTTCTCTACAATTCACTTTCTTCAAACTACTTTCTTCAGTCTTTTAATTTTGCTTTTAAAAAATTAATTTGAGGGTGCTTGTGCTTTCTCTGGCTCAAATGTATCTTGTCTAGCAACAGGGACCTAAATCAGGTGAGGAAGAACTGGCTGGAAGAACATCTCAGTCTTCTGACGAGATCGAGGGCCCAAAGGTTATGATCTGTTACAGGTTTAAAGTTCAGGTCAGGATCCAAATCCAGATCAAAGAGACTTTGAGGCCTTTCTCTAATAGTCCCTGTGTACATTGGGAGGGAGCCCAGTGCCTTATATGGCTGCTGGTTCAGCTCTCTTCCCTGTTTAAAGGGCAGGAGAAGCAGGGCTGAGATGTAAATCCTGGATCATACCCAAGTGCTCCCTTAGGTTATTTGTGAAGGTCTCCCACTAACACGCAATTAAGGTGCTCTCTTAAAAAAAAAATGCATCATGCATATTCCCTCTGTGTGGATAATCTCCCACAGAATAGAGAAAATTCACTCTGAAAAAGCATGGCAGAGTTGAGTTCGAGCTTCTAAAAGTTCCTGAAGTTTGAGTCTCCCATGGTCGATGTCCTTCTGAGAAGCAGACATCTCCATTTTGCAGGTATGCTCTAATATCCATGTCAAGAACTTCCTCTTAAGAGCTAAATCCATTGTATTCAAACAAGAAGTAGTCCAGCTGCTCATAAAATTTAAGTTAGGTGAAGCCCTGTCAGAGGTGTAGTGACAGAAACCAGTAGAATTCTAAAAGGCCTTGCTACTCAGACAAAAGCACAGCAGCTTGAGGTTGTTCTAATTCACTCCTTGCACAGTCAGTAATGTCCTGCTCTTCCATTACTGAGTGTTTAATCACTTCTTGCAGATCACTATATAAAAAGAAAAAAGCCAAATATTTTACTTGCCTAAACTGTTCTCAGGGTGAACATCGTGCAGGTTCCAACTCAATGAAGGTTCCAGCTTTAGAAATCCAACTGACTACATTTCTAAATCACCCCTTGTCTTACAGACCCTAGGTTACATTGAGCATCTTTATCAGATTCTCCCTCCTCCTAAAAGTATTGGATTAGGTTTGACTCTGCTGGATTGACTGTGCTGTTATGTAATGCTGTCGAGTGAAAATCAGGTCAAGTACCTTGTTAGGGCTTCCACTCTAAGTTTTCCTGCCAAGTTCTGTGCAACACAGTTTTTGGGTTTAAAGCCACATCTGTGTTACTACAACATGAGCTAAATTTCAGAGAAAATGTAACACCAAAGCAGGACCTCAGTAGCCTGATGGTAGTGGGTGCAAGCAACACTTGTTCAAGCTCAGAAGCTGATGTGGGATCATTGATAAGATCATTGAGAAGCCAAGCAGGGCTCTGACCAGCTGTTAACCCCTTCCTTTCAGCTGTGCTGTGTGTGAAGGGCATCTCCTGCTGCACAGCCTCTGGGATGTACAGCCGTGCTCCAGAAAGCAGAGGGGGAGCTTCTTATAAGGATGGAATATGCAGATCTCAGACAAAGTCTGATTCTGGATAAAGCCATCCAAAGCACTGCTTCCAGCCAGAAGAGGCTGCAGTTTGGGCCCCAAGGTGGCAGTCAGAAAGCAATGGCCTTGGAGTCCTCTGAGGGTTTGCCAGGGGGTCACTAAAAGGAAGCCCTTGTGTGATGTTACACCTGCCCAAGGGAAGAGCCAAGGCAGTATTACACGTGGGGCAGAGCAGGAGCTGAAATGCTCATCCGTGGGGACCCAACAAGAATGACTTCACCTTTCCATGGAAAATTTACAGGCAGGCAGTTGGAACTGCAAGGACATTTCAAATGTAGAAGCAGCAAGTGGAAAGCAATCAATCCTGGTCCCAAGACAAGTAAGATCCCCAGCTGTGAGTATACAGACTGTGCTCTGCAGCAGCCTGCACGTATGTGATGCTGTTGTGCAATCTGGGACCCTGAACAGTCCTGTGGTACCATATTCTCCTTGCTGAAGGTTTAACCCTCTGCAAGAGCAGCTGAGCTCCAGGTCTGTGCCCCAGGGAAAGACACACTCGTTCCTGCTTCCTGGGCTGAATTAGAAAAGTTACATGGTTTATCTCACCAATTACAACCAACCACCACAGCACAAGTAAAAGCAAACATTGAACGTTCACGAGCACACTGTGGGCAAACAACTTTGAAAAGTTAAACACATTAATTTGCCATATTTCATTACCACACAGAAGGAAATAATCTCTTCACAAACATTCTACAACCCACTAGAAGGCAGGTTTCTTTACTCCTCCTTGCAAATTCTCACTTCTATTTAGCAGTCATCCCCATTAGTTACAGTTTTGAGAGAGAAGGGGTCCACATTCCACAAAGTGCAGTTTCTATTCTCCACTCTCACCTAAAGGTATTATTTGATTATTAACTTGTTGAACTACATTAGCTGGGAGGATGTGAGCTTTGCATCCTCGTAGCACTTCCACTGCAGTTTCACTTGGGAGCTTTGTGTGTTTGTAGCTAGAGGATTCAAACTCTTTAATGTGTATTTGCAGTCCTATCAGCTGAGTATCAGTTCAGCCTCCCAGAGGAGAAGGAACATCTGCATTAAGGCTCAGTATCAGCATTTCACCCTCCTGATTGCACCAGCTCCAGCAAAAGCTATCTTCATCTCATGAGTGCTCAGTAGAGAAGCCCTGTGAGGACACCACGCTCCACAGGGTGTGGGTGGCAAGGTCTCACTCTTAGCAGATAATTCCTTCATATCAGCTGTCCAGTTATCTTAGCAGTTTAAAAAGGCTCCTGAAGTTGGATGGCTCATTCCTGTACCAGTGCAAGCTCATTTACACACAGCCCTCGTCTGTGTCACCTCATGGAGTCAGCCTTGCATCACTGCTGGGATTTTTGTCCAGCCCATGAGGATTTCAGAATTATTTGTGTTCTCACCCAGCTGAAGGACTGAAGTGATCAGGGCAAACCAGGGAGTATCACATCAGTAACTTTGAATATTCTGCTTCATTAAGACTGGGGCCACTTCTGACTTAATGATATGAAATAGTACACGTGACTGTGAAGTGATGAATCTTTAGGGAAAAATGCAACTGGAACCTTTCAATTGATCATCACTTATTCTCTCTACAAAATTCTACTTCAGCACAATTTATATATAGATTCACAGCAACAAACTGGACAGGCTCTCCATTTTTTTAATCTAAAACCCTGTCAAGAGAGATATGCCACAGTGGGAATATTTACACTACTATTATCACTGTTTCTATTCCCTAATTAAATTGCAGACAAAAAACCCCAACCCATCAAATTAATATTTTTGTTTAATTCTATGAATTCTTTTTAGAAATTCTGAAGGAGTTATCCTAAGAAGAGCCTTTTCTGAATTTCCTGGCTCAAAATTTGATTAATTCATTTTTAGTTTGGTTAAGGATGATTAAACTATTCACTGCTTTAAAAAGAAAGAAACAAATTCACAAGAGCATACAAGAACTTTCTCTCAAGCTATAACATATAATTTCTTTTAATTACATCAAATGCTAGTTTAAATTAATTAAGTGTAATTGGTATCTCAGCTGAGCACTTTACAAAGATGACACTATAGTTTATGAACTATCCACATGCACAAATTAAAATATATATTTTTAAATCCTATTAACACCACTACTTTGAACAGTGTTTCTGTTCCTTCCTCTTCTCCAGGAAAGCTTTGCTGGGCACCCTTCCCTTTCTCAGCCTCTCCTCACTGTTCCCCCCTCCCTTCTTCCTGATTTTTGAACGATCCTGGCAGTGGGGACCATTTCTGCAAACTGCTGCAGAGGCAGCTTCCTCCAGCAGAGCTGGGCAGCCACAGACATCACCAACACTGCTCATGGGCTTTAAGTCAGGGCCTAATTTTTGGGGATTGGCGTTCAAGAGATGTCCCATGAAACCTGACAAACCTTGATTTTTCAGACACTGTACCTGAGTCATTTGTGATGCTTGCATTACCACTTCTGCATTTCCCTTGGCTTTTTCAGGACTGTGCTAGCTAATGCTTTTTGGCTGACATACCATTTTTTTTCTTTCTGGCTTTCATATTGAGGCCATCTTGGTTATTCAGAACACCATGAGTGTTTTCTTATAAGGAAAAAAATTAAATTCATAAAACATGGCAAACCAGTCTTAATTTATTTTTCTGTGGACAATGTTTTTAGACTTGGATTCTACATCTAATCTCAAAAAAGTCTGTGTTTGTTGGCTAAATTAAAATATTATATCTTACAGGAATACTTATAGGTATCACTGTCTTCAATGGGAGTAACAGATACATCTGGCAATGGATTTTGCCATCCAACTTTAGGAGCTCAGGTTGAGAATTTTGGTCCTAATGTTTGCTGCAACCTTAGATTTAGGCCCAATCCACCTGACAGTGTCCCTTTAAACAGGAGCTTCCCCACAGCTGCTTTCTCTGATTCTGAGATGTTTTAGGATGCTTTTCATATACTACAGTTTCTGAAGGTCAGTGCGTACACATTTTAAGACACAGTGATTAGACAGTGTATGGAACTACTTGGCAGTATTTAGCTGGTACAGTTTCTTGTGGAAACAACAGAATTCCAAAATACACCACACTGAATGCTTATGGGTTATTACAAGCAAAAATCCCAAGACACCGGGAATTAAAAAGCGGAGTTCAACAAAGGAACACTGATATCGTCGGTTGATATGAACAAAGTTGTGCCAAGTCTTCCTTCTTTGCTTTTTCAAGTGGAGAAATAAACTGGGAAATGAAGCAGAAGGAAAGGAAAAAATATTAAAAAAAGACAAAACCCAGGAGTTATTACAGAGTAATGTTGTGCTTTATCTTAGAGAAGTGTGTGATGCCAGAGGACTGCAGACACCTTTAGCACACCTTAGCTGAAAGGAGCCTGACATGTGTGGCACACAGTGCTCCTTTCTAGCAGACATGGGGATGCTCCTCCTGTGTCCAAAGGAATTTGGAGGGGAAACTGGAATAGAGAGCAGGGGAGACTGTGGCTCAAGAGGTAGAAAGGGCAAGGACTGGCAGTGATGTCTGTCCCCAGCCCCAGCAGCACCTGCAAAGCTGTGTGCTGTATTGCTCCCTCCAGCAGCTTGTGAGGAATGGCTCAGTTTGTCTGCATCCACAGCCACCCCTCGTGGAGGGGATGATCTTGTGCATCACACTCCAATCACAGACTGGAAAAGTCATGCAGGCCTTGTCTAACAGCACTTGGATGCTTGATGTCTATAGGATGTAAACATACACTTGAGAGCTACTGTAAATAAATGCAGCATTGATTGAAATACACAAGGTCCTTCCTGAAGCTGCAACCTTCAGGCACTTATCATACAAGAATCAAATAGACTGGAAAAATAATTTGAACAACAGGTACACTCCAGTCTTACTGACCTGGTACTAGATTTCAATATGGTGAGCCATGGCCAGGGTCAAACAATGTGACACTCAAGTTTGTGATTAAATACCCTAAACTCAACCTAACCCCTGTCAAACCTGCACTGTCTTTTTCTTTTTTTAAACTTACGAGGACAGGCATTCAACATTTTAAACCAGGAGTGAAACAATGTTCTTACTTACATATGTTTCAGCCCAAACTTCAAGGGATGAGTTAGGAGCTATCTTGACCACTTTCTACTTTCTTGTTAAGACTCACATAATTCTCACTGAGGAATGTATACCCAGCAATCAGTTCAGTGGCTGCACATCTTCTTTTGCCTGGTTGCTGCACTAGACTGCAGAGCAAGGGCTGGTCTTCCTCCAGTCAATACAGTTAATTAATATCTAACCATTTCCCATTCTTGCTGTATCAGTGTTACGAAACCCTGGAATTATTCTGGGTCACTCTGGTGCCAGCATTCATAAGGCTAATAAACTGTCACATGTATCTCATTCCATTTAGTCATGTTTACAGGTGATCCTGTAAGGAGCAAGGGAGGAAAATGGAAACATGCTGGATATCAAGCATGTAACTTGAGAGCTGGGAATTAACTCACATCCACAACCTGGCCTTCTGGTGAATCTCTTCTGGGTTACTACCTGCATTGTGTATCTGAAGAAATCTCCCTTTTAGGAGTTAATGCCTTATTACAGTTATGTCATCTAACAGCTGTTGCTATCACAGGGTTACATAAATGAAATGTTCAGTTCCTGTCATTACAAGGTCCCTGAGCCCCAACCAGCATGACTGCTATTATTCATTCATAGCTAACTTCCCTGCAACAACTGCGTGGAATGAGATGATCTTTTGAGAAAATCAATCAGTGAGACTTCGGGACACCTTTTAACAACATTTGGGCATTCGAGGTGCAAAAGGATCTTCAGAAACACTGACATCTCAGATTCTAGCTGATATGGCAGAAACCAGGCACCTACACACTTTTAAAAAATTCATCAGATGCCTGTTTGCCTGTGTGCCTTCATCCTCTTTTTATAGGCATGAGGTATTTCAAGAATTTCTTAGTAGAAAACACCAGGACTGTGTCACTCATCATCATGAAAGGAAGATCTCTGAGACTGCATAAAATTTATTTAAAACATAAAAAGGGAGAGCGTTTAATCCTAGGGAAAGTTATGTAACATGCTAATGTAAAAAACATTAAATGTCAACAATTTCTGTCAATATGTGTCCAGGGAGTTTGCAGTAATTCTCACTATAAAAGCATAACACTAGAAGGGGAATTTCACTAATTAATCAGTTTAAATATTTTATATCCATTTTTGTTGCTTTGGTTTTTAATGTATCAACCATTCTTAAGTCACAAGCTACTGAGATCATAAACAAAAGAGAAAATGAATTACTCACTTATAATTATAATGAGAATGACTGCGCATACTACACCAAGGATGATCATCATCTATAAAAAGAAAGTTATAAGAAAGAAAAAGAGAAAGTCAGGCTTTCACATGAAAGGCATTAACCCATCAATTTTTTTACTTTTACTTAGTGACTCATTCCTCATACTTTGAACTCTTGTAAAGACCCACAACAGACTTGTTAAGGCCCCAAATTCAGTGCTGGTTTCAAAATCAACAATGGGCATAGCCTCTTGTCAAAGCTGGCCACTCCTTACCTGTCAGCTAAAGATGCAGTGACCAACCTCAACCATTTCAGCAGTAAAGAAAATCTCGACTTCCAAAGTAAAACAGCTCCAGGGGCTGGGATCACAGTGGCCATGCACCCCTTTATAGCAGAGTCACCTCATCCCTTTTCCCCGTGCTCCTGAGGCCAGTGAAGAGGCAGCTGGAGATGTCTAAAGGCCAGCAACAGTTTGTGCTGCTGCTGCTGAGACGGGAAGCCCATGGTGGCCACAGCAGTGGCCACAGCAGTGGAGACAGCTCAGGGCAAAGCAGGAGCTGCTCCCCCAGAGCAGAGGCTGCCATGCACAGCCCTCACCTGCACAGAGCTGCCCCAGGGGCCACATCTGGGCTCTGAAAAGCTGAAAATTAACGAGCCCTGCAGGGATGCTGCAGGCCAGTGGCCATTATTACCCCAGTGGGTATGAAGACTGAAAAACAACACATATGGGCATGTCAAATCAAGGCCTTCATTCCTCCAAACATGAGGACAGACCAAGCCATTGGCTTGCAGGAGATTTTTTAAAATTTCTTCCCTCTATTTGGGAGTTTGGGAGTTTGGGAGAGGAAGGACAGGGAGATTGTCAGGACAAAGCAGGAAGGGACAATGAGGAAAGGAGAATGAGGGTAGGTTTGGAGCTCAAGTGTAGTGCAGGTCACTGTGGTGACTGCAGTCACATGGGGGAACCTAACTCAAAATCTGTGCTTGTAGCTCCCAAAAGCCCTGCTTCCTGCACTGCTGGGCATATCAGCTGGGCAACAGCTAAAAGAGGCCCAGAGGACCTGACCTGATGAATTTCTAACCTAGAGCCTCTTATTTCTGGAGTGTTTGTACATGTAGTTTACCCAGAATGTTTTGTCTTGCTTTACATTTCCTAGCGCTGTGGATTGAAGACAGCAGGCTAGCAAGGGATACCTGTGGGATTCCCCTTGGGAACAGCTGGTTTTATTTGGGTGGACACAAGTAGTCAGCAGGAAAGTTGGCATTGGGAAAGGGAAATGAAGCTGAACTTTTAGCACAGTGTTCATGGTGATGGTGCATGAGTAGGAAGAAGAAAAGACGAGTCTTAGAAGAGTAAGAGGAGATGAAGTTTCTGGGTCCAAATTCCACAAATACTGGAGGAGGTCTGAAAAAGGAGAGTGAAGTTCCCTCTGCTCTTGGGAAAGGATTAGACTTTGAAGACAGCAGAAAAGGCAGCTGATTGATGAAATCCTGCTTTATCCAAACCAGCCCCTCTTTATAAGAGACTGTAATTCCCTCCCTTCTCACAGCAATTTGTAGAAGCCAGTTTTGGGTATTTTTTTATGGTTTACCATCCTGAAGAAAAATCAAATCAATAATGATCCCCCACAAGGAAAAACTTCTTTTCTCCCACTGCTAGACTTCACTGCACCTGATGAGGTTTGGTGGCTCCCACAGAGAACTGACACGAATTGGGAGGAAATGCTTTCCCATTCCTATCTGAAGGCACTAGGGAAGTATCAAGGATTGTATCTACGTTTTATATACTGCAGAATATATGGGTTCTGGGAAAGATCAAAGTTGCTTGAGTTCTGGAGCCTCAAGGTCAAGGCCTCTCTTTCTCACCTTGAGAAGAGATGACTCAGAGGTGCCATCCTGCAGGCAAAGTCCCACTAAATGCAAGTGAAAGCAATTCCTGCCACGAAGCCATTCCCAACAAGGATTTATAATCCTTACCTTGCAATTTTTCCACCAGTATTTCCTCTTCAGTTTGGCTGCACTGGTCTCAAACTGTGAGGCACCTGCTTGCAATGCATCTGCCCGGTTGTCGAGCTCTGACAGCTTCTGGTCCCTCTCCAGCACCTTGTCCACGTTCATCCTCATGATGTCCACCACCTGTGAAGGCACAGACACGCCTGGCACTCCTCCCACAGGCAAGCTGAGGGACACCCAGCTGGCCACAGCCTGCAATGTCACACCTCGTCCTAAAGGCAGCCTTTGGTGTGTGATGGGATTCCCCGGGCAGTGCCCCAAAATGCCAGCCTGTGGGAGCACACACTGTGCTGGGTGCCCTTTAAGGTAGAAAATAAAGAGACAGCATGAAATAGCACAGATGGTTTCATTAAAGTTTTTGACTTATTTTGTACTGATACAAGACCCTGATGAAGATCTCTATCCCACACTCTGACTGACATCACTAAGAACAAGCCATTGTTTTCCTTGTACATTTAACACCTTCCCTACCTGCAGCAGGGAAATCAGCTAGCAAAGGCCACCCTAAAGGGAACTGTATGCATTTCCTTACCAAAGAATTTTCTCATTGTGCAGATCTTTTGGGTAAGATGACTCCTCAGCCATGATTTGATGTCCTGCTTGAAACTGGAGGAGGAGAACATTTTTACCTGAGCAAATTCAGCCTGAAGAGAGGCAGAGAGCTCATGGCACAGCCAGCACACAGCAGGCAAGGGCTGCTCGTGTGTGTGTTTTATACCTTGGGCAAAGTGAAAATCCTCTTCTAGAAGCCAATAACTAAATGGAAATCCTGTAGAAATTCACCACTAAAGCAAATGTCAGGCAGTGTCACAATCTCAGTAGTGTCCAATTTTTCTAGCAGTGGGAGAGGCTGATGGCCTGTTAATTCTCACACTCCATAGTAAGAAATTCGTATTATACATATTTAATAAAACTTAACAATTACCTGTATAAATCCAGAATTATTTAAAGGATACATTATTCAAACACAGTGAGAGGAAATTGGTAGTGAAAGAATCTTTAATAGGACTGGCAGAAGGTCTCAAAAGATTTGTTTCACTTGTCTACCAAACTTAAACCAAAATGAAATATTTTGGTCAATATAATTTATCTTGTTTTTCCAAACCAAAACCTTCCAAGCACTTAACCTCATATAGAACTATAATAACAGTTTAAAGTATTGATTTCTCAGCTAGCATTTAGTTGCATTGTATCTACAATGATTTGTAGTAAAAATGTTAAATTATTTGAAAACGCTGAAACAAAATACTCCACTATTTCCTACTCATTCTCTCAGCTTTTTGGAATTTTGGGTTTTTTTGTTGTTTGTTTGTGGGGAGGGTTGTTTGGTTTTTTTGTTTGTTTGTAGCGGGTTTTTTGAGGGGTTTGTTTGATTTTGTTTGGGTTTGTTTGATTTTGTTTTGGTTTGTTTGTTTTTGATTTTGCTCGTTTGTTTTCCCAGAACTACTTATTGAATCTAGCCTGGCTGCAGTGAACACTTGCCCAGGTGAGACTGCATTTTTGTCAAATAAATAAATGCTTGCCCGGGCCTTAGAAAATAAGCTCTACGACATCTAGAGGAATCAGGTGGGAAAACCCAAGAGAGGAATAGCAGAAGTACTCTATGGCCATTGGTGTAGCATTAAAAACATCGGTGATTTCGTGCCCATCCAAAGTTTCCTGCGCTGCCCAGGGCTCTGCTGCCACCTGCGGGTGACATCCCCACCCGGCAGGGACAGAAAAGAGCAGGGGAAGATCGGGGAGAAACGGCAAAGCAATTTGTTTCTTTTATTTTATTATTTCATTTTATTTTATTTTTAAAATTTTATTTTATTTTTTAAATTTTATTTTATTTTTATTTTATTTATATTTTTACGGTTTATCATTTATATTTATTTTTATTTCATACGTATCTTTATGGTACTGACGCTTTAGGATTTTAGCTTTTCTATTTTTCAGATCCTGTAGTGTTTCAGTGTTTAACTCTGAAACTCCATAACCTGTCAGCTGCTGTTATCCTGTTTTATTCAGACAATTCCTCTCTGGGCCTGGAACCCAAGGACACCCTACAGCCTCAGGCCCCAAAAGTGCAAACTAAAGTGAATTGGGGGGAGCAAACTGGGGGTAAATGACTTCATTTCCTGGAGCTGTAATTGGAGGATTGACCCCTGATATGTACATGGACCAAACTTATATCTGTCTGAAAAACTCAGCCCATTGTCCATTTTGGGTGTGGCCTCTGAGGCTTCTGACTGCCCCAGGTGTATCTATTGAAGGCTTTCATAAATACCCACTTTATTCTCTTAACCTTGTCCAGCCTCTGTTCTAGGGAGCCACCCCAAGGCATCAGTACCAACAATTCATCAAGCTGGAATGTGCAAAAATGCACATGAATGGTAGATCACATACATAAATTTGTAACCCTTGCAAATTATCATATCTAACAAAGATGCTTCAATGAAAGGCTTCAATGAATGGTGTGACATCTCCCCATTCTAAAGTACTCCCCCCAGATGGGTGTGATTTTAGTTTGCAGATGTTTTAGATGTGGTAGCTCAAGACAGCACAAGGATTTCTGCTCCCAGCTGTAAGGCTTTTAAGGTGTCTGGTCTTCTGGCCTAGAAAATATCTGGACCATGTTAAGACATTAAGTTTAAAAAATTGCAAATATGCATGTTAAGAGTATTAAGTATTAAGAATGTTAAGAATACATAAAAGGTATATAAAAAGAAAAAGTAAAAAAAATCCTCATGGCATCACCACACTGGACCCCTGGGTGTAACAAACCAGCATCACCCCAGCGACCTTACAGTGCTGCAGGTGCAAGTTTGCCTCCCCTGGCTGTTCTTATATCGTGATTTCCCTGTAAAAAGGACCTGCTGACCACGTGCTATCAACTCCAGACCCGTGAAAAATTCTTCCCTGAAAGAGTGACTGTGCACTGGAGCCATCTGCCCAGGAAGGGGAAGGAGTCACCATCCCTGGAGGTGTTTAGGGACAGCCTGGAGGTGACACTCAGTGCCATGGTTTGGCTGATGAGGAGGTGTTAGGTTATAGGTTGGACTAGATGATCTGAAAGGTCTTTTCCAACCTAGTTCATTCTGTGATTCTGTGATTCTGTGATTCTGTGATTCTGTGATTCTGTGATTCTGTGATTCTGTATCAGCTGCAGCCTCTCTCTCAAATGGAAGGCAAAACCTTCACAAATCCTGAACTTCACCCACATAATTCTCAAATCCAAGAACTACTCATTGTCTCCTCATACTGAGCAAGAGTAACTGCCAAAATTATGTCATCACCTCCACGAAAAGACAGATTTTCATGGGTCTGAGTGAAAAGAGTCAGAATGCAGAGTATCTTAAGCACAAAGCAGGGGTTCACTATCCTCACTGATGCAATCTCTATTGAACTATTTGAAGAGCCCCGTGTTTCTGACAGACATCACTCATTTTAAGATAATAAAAGGCAATTTTTATCATCATTTTGGGACAGTTACTTTTGCTGTCATTCACACAAACAATTACAGGACCACTGTGATGTAACATCTTCAGGACAAGAAGTTATTACTGGTTATTATTCTAACCAAAGACAAAAGCTAAAATGTAACATTCCTTTCCCCACTGGAAGAGGAAATAAAGAGATAGAGAGAACCTAGTCTAGACATTTCTGCAGGCGTTTCTGCAACCAGAAGGATGTGAACACGTCTGAGCACCAACAATGGGTATGGCATTATAGCCAAGACAAGAATTTAAGGATCCAAGCTGGAACAGGCACATGGTCCCACAAAATCAAGAAAAGGAGTGGGGATTTTTTTAAGGATGCTGTTATGACGTCATGTGTGGGTGCCTTTCTTTGGGAATAAATTCTGACGATCAATGGAGCTCTTGCTAATGAACACCGCCCTCAGCAGCTCAATTCTGATGGTTTTAATCTATCCATGATGGCCTGTCTCTGTGAAACAGTCTGCGAAATTAGCATCTAACCTTTAGGAGTGCAGGAACACACTACAAGAGCTGCTTCCACTATGACATTTCCTCCTAACCAGACTGGGAGGAATTCCTGAATTGGCACCAATGCCCACACTTTATCTGCAGAACTGTTGCTGGTACAGGGATGTTTATACTCAGGATCTCTCTTGTGCTGTCTGCCTCCTTTGATAAATCTCATTTCCTAGACCCACTGCCTTCAGACGAGTGGGAGTTGCACAGGGGAGGAAACTGCCCGTGGCAGCAGCCTTGGCTGGAGCCGCTTACCTCGTCCACCTGGGCTTGTGTCTGCTGCAGCCTCTTGTTGCTGGACACGTTGGTGGCAGGAGGGGGCCCTGCAGCCCCTGCAGCACCGCTGGGACCCTGGGCAGAAGCTGGAACAGACCTAGAGCAAAACCAGAGAACCTTCGTGACCAAAACCGTCTTTACTTGTTCACTACCCTTTTCCTGGAGCTTGTAAAAATTACCTATCTCTTCAAAGAACTTCTAAAGTTTCAAAGCACCTCCTTCTTCTTCAGAGAACTTTTCCATCTTTTCAATCCATGTTTTCCATTCCTGGATCACAACCCTACCACCCTGCCATTCTATCTCATACCACAATCAGTTTTTACACTATTTCTTGATGGCACTTTATCAAAGCCTTCCACCTCCCTTGCTACTTTTTCAAACAACAAACAATTCAGATTATCTACCCTAAACTGATCACAGGCCTGACTAGCAGGGCAGAGCTTATGTCCCATCAGGAAATACACACTGCTCTGGGGATTTTGTGTTAATGCAGCAGGAGATGGGCTGTGACCTTGTCTTCCCTCTCAGTGTGCTGAGTAAAGCACTGCCCTGCTCCTCTCTTTGGACTTCACCAAGCAAAGATGAACAGAAGGAAACAAACAGAAACAGGAGGAGATTACATCCCTCACAAAAAGGAGAGGAGAAAGAAACAGAGGAGGAAGTGGGGGTGAGAATTGCACACGGTTTGGGGTCAGTCATCTCTGGCATCCAGCAATGCTGACCCTCCCCAGCCACCAGAGCAGCTTCTGTGTACCCACAGCCCCTGGAGGAGTATCTGCAGCACTGCTGTGAACAGAGCCCTGACCAGTTTGCTCTATAACAAAGGACAAAACAAAGCATCCTGAAAATCCAACAACAGATCTGGTCTGTCTCAGAGTATGAGTTTGTGCAGATAAATCAGCCCCCCAGCCTGAGCAGGGTCCCTGAACCTCAGCCAGCCATCCTTCACACCCATGCTCTAACCTGGGAAACCTCACCTCCTCTGTCAAGGGACCCCTCTCACTCCTTCCTGCAGGCAAATAAAACCCTGAGGCTGCAGAGGAAATCCCTGAGCATGTGAACTGAAAAATATCACAAATCCCACTCATGCATTACCAATGCCTTCCCACAGTGACAGACTGAGAGAACACAGTGTTTCTCTGTGAATCATTCCCTTCTACATCCTGGGGTCTGATTAATGCTGCTGGAATTATGGCCTCATTAATACACTGTCAAAACAGTGCCTGGGGACAATAAAGTTAGCTCCCCAAAGGTACCTTAAGCTGCAAAATTCAGTTTGATGGTATTGCCTGAGGGCTGAGATCTCTGTGGATAGCACTGACCCTCAGAAGCTCCCAGAGATGGAGCAGCTGTTTGCAGACCTGCAGCACTGCTGTAGCTCACACTTCACTTTTTAACTGGGGCTGAGAATGTCATTAGCAAGCTCGAGCTGACAGAGAAGGAATTGAGCAGTGCACTACTTGCTCATCCTTTGAGGACCTCATGGCCGCTACTAAAAACATAAAAACCAGATGCTGCTGCCACCTGCAAGGGAATCTCTCCACCCATTGCCGTGGGCCAGCATCCCAACAGGATTTATTTTGAGTTGTCACAAAGGATCAAAGTCTGCCTATAATGTACATCACACATAACACAAAACAAGATCTCCCTGGAGCATCAACAGCCTCAAAGGGTGATCCTGGTACAACAACAACAAAGCTAAAATTGAAATAGTAAAACTTCTGTGCAGTTAAGGAGGTAAATAGGCATTTTCCCAATCGACACAGGCAAGATTTTTTTCCCGTGGAAACACTGTGCCACTACTACAAACATCAAGGGAGCTCCTCTCCTGAGTTATGCACTGTTGGAACCTCAGAGACTACAGAAGAGGAGAATGTGAGAAGAGTTTTTCCCTGCCACATGTTTTGCTGTAAGCAGAGCTTATAAATTCAGTGATGTTCTTGGTCAGAGCTATAACTCCAAAGCTTGGAGCTCTGCCATGTACCTTTTCTGCCTAGTAATTCTCATCTTTTTTTTGCACCTCCCAAGCGGTCTTTAAAATGACTTGACATATAGTAGATACTCTCAAGGCTGTTCTCTTCCAGCTTTCTTGCTGCCATCTAATTTGGTTTCAGCTGCATTTTCTGGGGCTTTTCTGCTCCCACCCACAGGGGAGGAAAGGATGGGAAGAACGGGTGTTTTTACAGTTGCCCTGGCCATCCATCAGGAGTTACTGTAACCATCAAAGAGAGATGACAATCTTTATGCTAAGGCACAGCAACCTCATAACATACTCATCTTAATTAATTACCTAAAATCTAATCCAAGTTTTCTGGTAAAGAAGGCAACTGAAGGCCTGCATCACTTGAAAGCATAGACATTCCCTGCAATACCATAGAGCAAAGGCTCTAGAATTAAAGTCCAGCCTACATTTACATAATTCTTCCTGCATTTACATAATTCTTCTATTATTGCCTCTGTACCATGTCGTATCAGCTTATAATTTCTCAGAAGCATTATTCAAAGAAATTTATGCAAAAATATTAGCACTATGTTGTAGAAGCTTCCCTTTGAAATACATGAAGCATCACAACTTTAAAGTATAATTTCTCATGGTCTGGCATGATTTTGGGGAGCTACAAAAGAATGCAAAATCCATATAAAAGCCCCACCAGTAAGCCCCTAGCCATCAGACTTGTGTACTTTTTTAAGGAAAGGGAACTTACCATTGGTGCTGAGACCTGCCATTCCCAAGAAGAAGTCAAGCTAATTTTGAAAGAGGAACAAAATTCTGTTATTGTTGGTGAAAAAGGGCATGAATCCCCAGCAAATACTCTTAAATGGCAACCAGTGTGTGACAGCAGAGCAGAGGCAGGTTTGGCAGTCAGCACACGAGCAGCCCTACAGGCTGGAAGCAGTGCAGGCTCTGTGCCTGCAGCCACCTTGGAAGAAACGCTCAGGGACTTTCTGAGTGACTCAGCACAACAGTCTCAGACATCCTCAGCTCTTCCACTTGGGCCTGAAACTGGTAGGTCAGATTCATGACTAAGAGATTTGTCATCTCGCTGAGATGGTCGGGAAGCAGCTTGCTATTTAGATCTGACAGTTAAAGGCAGCTGCAACTCTTAATTAAAAGAGAACTGGAGCTAGCCAGCGTTACTGTTTTGCATTTCAGCACTGGCTGAAAAACACATTAAGGATGATTGTGTATCTAATATTTTGGGAAACCATCTGACGCACACTTTCATTTTTGCTCACATGTGTGAGCTACACAGCAGAATTTTTTCACTTAGTCAGGCTAGGGAAGGGAGCTGCACGATGCAAACACCAGGAGGATGCCAGGCCACCGCTGTGCCTCGGTACAGTTTACATGAGGACCTCCAAGGCTGCTTTCAGCATCTTCTTTTATCCATCCAAAGTGCTTTTTAAAGCCTCCAACTACAGGACATAATCCCTGCAAAGCCTTTATCCTAACAACACCTTATTAAGCTAAGGAGAAGCTGTTATCCCTACACATGGCTGGAAACAGGTGCAGGGGGATGGAGGGACTTCTCCATGGCACAGAAATCTGTGGCAGGGCAGCCCAGCCCTCTTCATTGTCCTCCTTCTGTTCCTCTCCAGCTCTGGCTCGAGGCAAAGCTCACAGCCTATCTCTAACAGCAGGAGTTATTTTCTACCCCTCAAACAGTGAGAAGCACAGCTAAAGCTGATAGGCAAAGTGAGAATCACATCACACGGCTTTAGGGAGTGTCAGCTCAGGGGAGGGCAGTGAATGTGCATCAATTAATGATCCCTTCCAAAAATGAAACGAAGCAGGCAATTTTTGAAGAACCCCAGTCTGAGTCCTCTTTCCTCAAAACCTTCCCCTTGTTCAAATAAAACAAAATTGCATTGCCTCTCTTCCCTTTCATTCGTTTTTGGTTTTTTTTCCTGTTCAGGTATTGTATTTGCCTAGTACATATTTACTGCTGTAAATGACGTATATTTAAGACACTTTTTCCATGTGGACCCTTTCAAAAGGCACCCACCCATTTGGGCTTCACTGTGGAATTAGAGTCTGACAGTCCATGGTTTCAAAGGCATTTGAAAAATACACCACAAACACCCCTTTGTTTAACTGCAAAATAAATCAGAACACTTCCATAGCTTTGTACTCTTGAGATTTTACTCTAAAACAATTATTAGAATTAGCTACAAATGCAAATTTATAGATTACTTTAGTGTCTATGCATGTCAGTGAAGATTTTGGCCCAAGGAATAGCTGCAGGAACAAACCCATCTCACAATCCCCAGAGCAGAGAAAATTCATCTGTGAATTGAGATGCACTGGAAAGCTTTGAGGCACCAGGATCTCTAAGGAAATAAAGGAGCTCTATAGCCCTGGGGGTTTGCTGTTAGTTTTGGACTTGCTTTGTTTATTCCTATGCAGTAACAGCTAAACCAATTTTTCCACTGATAGTTTACTGACAATATTTGCAGTCTTCTGCATTCTGCAGGAATCTGCAGGTTTCCAGCTCTGTGTTAATCAGATGATGCCACATGGGATTTTAATTTTGCACGAGGTCAGTTTAGCCAAGATTAGCTCAAAAAACTTTCTTACCAATCAGCGTGGCTGTGTGAGGTTGGACAGAACCCTAATGAAATCCAGCCTGATAAACAGAGCAGACTAAAATTCTGTGCTTGTTTATTCATGTGTCACCTCTCAAAGAAATTGATGTTTAAACTCCCTAAGATTCTGAGCTTTCCAGAGCCCAGCCCTTAACTGTACAAACTAAACAAGAGCAAGGTCCTACCACCCTGGTGGGTGGACAGTCACGTTTCTCTTTGTGTCCAGGAAAGTGACATCCATCCCAGCACCTCCTACCTAATTTTCTGGTTTTCCCAAAAAATGAAATGGGATAATGTCAAATGGCAGGTGCTGTTACTCTTTGAAAACAACACACTAATTCTGTCAGGAGAGGTGCAGGGAAACTTCTAGCACCCCCATAAAATAAAGTGTTCCTCAGGTTCTCATTCTTCTTCCAAGTAGGTAATGATGTTCTGTGCCTGCAGGGTGACAGGACTCTCCAAATGACAGCCCTGGCTAGAGACCATGACCTCCCACTTCTGAGATGCTCT